TGGGTGGGGTGGGGGCTGCGAGTCAGGAGTGATGGGCACCGACAGGGCCGGGAGGGCAGGGGGCTGTAGGTTGGAAGTGAAGGGCTCTGGCAGTGCTGGGTAGGCAGGGAGCTGCAGGGTCAGGAGTGAGGGGCACCAGCAGGGCTGGGGGCAAAGAGGCAAGACTGAGGTGTATAGCAGACTTGCACTGATCGTGCCCCTGACCCTGTCCAGCAGCAGCAAGATGCAGGGGGTCACCAGTGGCCCGCATGTCCCAGGCACAGGGTTTTACTGCCAGCCCCGGCCCCACAGCCCCGGGGCCACCTGCTCTGGGCCAGGGAGAGGGGCGGGAAGGTGACCTGACTGCCAGGAAGGCTCCGAGCCCAGCAGCTGCACAGCGGAAACCAGATGCTGTGTCTTCTAAACCAGCTCCCTGGTCAGCCGAGGCCTGACTTGCGGCTGAGCTGGAAGGCGTTGGCTCCTGGCAGAGGGCTGGAGGAGCTGTCTCTGTCCCCAGCCTTGGGTTAGGGGGGTCCAGGGGAGAGGCTTCTCTAGCCCTCGTCCCAGCTGCTACATGGAAGGGCTGGAGACATCTTTCTGGGACCTCTCCCCTGGATCCCATCACGCCATCTGCGCCTGGCAGCCAGGTCCTTGCAGCAGCTCAAGGAGGGCTGGCGTGGGGGGCTGGTGAGAACTGCCCTCCCCCCCCATCCTCCTTCTTCGACACCTCCCGGCTGAGCAACGAGCAGGCGCTTCTGCTTCACACTCCTCCACAACGTCTGGGCACTCAGGCCTTCCGGTGAGGGGCGGGGGACACCCAGGGTAGAACTGGGGCCTGGGCTTTCTCTCCAGCTCGCTGAGGGCTGTGAAGCGGGTCCACTCTTCCTGTCTGGCCGCTGCCTCATGGGGTGACCATGGACAAGTTCTGTGCCTCGGTTTCCCCGCCTGTTGATGGGGTTCAGTGACCCTTACCAGGCTGGTGGGAAGGTCTGTTACTGTCTGGAAGGGGCTACGGACCGGGTGTCCAAAAGGGCTGAGCACCCCAAGGAGAGCAGGGACAGCTCCCACCCACCCCTGGCAGAGAGGGGTGGCAGCCTGCCTGAGTCTGCCCCCAGCCTGAAACAAATGGCTGGTTTCTGGGCGCTGTTGAGTCTGGAGCCTAATGACGCCAGTTTGCTTGGGAGCAGCAATCCCCATTTCCCTGCTGCTCCTTGCAACCAAGAGCCAGCCCAGCCCAGCGCCTGCTCGAGCTGCTGCTGGTGCAGCCTTCTCGGGACCCTCCCATGACCCCGAGCCACCGAAGCCAGGAAGCTCTTCCCCGTATCCAACCTCAGATTCTGGGAGCGCAGTCCAGGGAATCGCACGTCACTCCTTGTCCTGTCCCCGGTGTCCACTTGCAAGGGGCGGCTGTAAAATTAGCTCTGGGTTGCATCTTGGCCTGAATTCAGAGCAGCACAAGGGGCTAGGGCAGGAGCTCCCGGGCCCCAGGCGGGGCACGCAGCCTGACTTAGTGTCCAGAGGGCGGCGAGGGGGTCAAGGAACAGAATGGGAGGCTCATGGCTGGGTGAATAGTGGGGGCAGCTTGCGTGGGTCCCCTCTCATGGGGCTCATGGGCAGCTGGAGACCTTCTCGCTGCCACTGGAGACGGCCAGGGGGGCATTTAGTCTGTGCCTTAGCTTGATGCAGAAGGAGCCTGGATGCCACAGGAATGGGCAGTGGGGAGCCTGACCATGGTACCACACTCTGCTGGGGCCCTGGCTCCGCGCCATGGATGTGCCAAGTTGCCTCTTCCACGGGCACTGGGCCCTGGCCCCATGCCTGGCGCTTCCCCCTTGGAGCGAAGGAGCCGCCTGCGGTGTGCAGAGGCTCCGCGGGGCCCTGCCAGCAGCCGTCAGTGAGCAGATGCTCCCACATCCTGACATGCCGCCAGCATTGGCGCCCGCCCGGGTCGGTGCTGCGATGTGCAACAAAGGAGCGGCTTCCCTCCCTGCTCCATATCACGCAGGGCCCGGGGCTGGGGGGGCGGCTCGGGCATCTCTGGCTGTCATACCTGCCACCCTGCATGGGGGGCTGGGGCCCTGAGCTGGCCGGTGTGCATCTTGCCCCGGTCCACGATTGGGCGTGCAGCCTAGACCTGCCCTGACGCAACTCGCAGAGGGGCTGGGTGGAGCTGGAGGCCTTGAGGTGGAATCCAGCTGAGCTCCATCGCAGCTCGGTTCATGCAGGATCAGCCCGGTGGGATTCTCCCCTCTGGAGCAGACACAGGGACCTGGCAGGTCTCTGACCTCAGCCCATTACGGCATGGCCGTGCCCAAACCAGTGGCCTCCAGTTAAAACACTGGTGCTACTCCAGCTCCCGTGAGCTTCCCAGGTGAAGAGGCAGAGGTGGGCTGGTACTGTGCATCCCCATGCTTGGGTTTGGCTTGTTCTGCACCAGTCACTGCCTGGGACCCCTGGCTGTCCAGAGCCGGTTGCAACTCCGGCTTCCTGCAGCCCCAGGGCTCTCGGGAGCTTGCTCCTCTGCCCCTGGGCTCCCTTGATGCATCGGATGGGTATGGCAGGCACCTCTGAGCAGACTCCGGGCACGGGGACCAGGCAACTCAGGGCAGCTGGAGACCCGTGGCCATCACCTACTCCCAGTACCTGCCTGCTGGCATCACTGTTGTCACAGGCCTCATGCCAGGCTGAGCCCTGCGTGCCCTGCTGTGGAGGGGCCAGCCAAATGGTCCCATGGGTCGACACATCTATTTGCTGCGTCTGGGGAAGGATGTCCAAAAGTCTCTGGAGAAGCACTGAGCAGGCCGCTGGACTGAGTCTCTGCCCACTTGGTGTCTGCCAGGGGCAGCAGTGTCCAGCCCAGCCACCCTTCCTGCTGCTGCTCTTCTTGCCTAGGGTGCCCCGGCTCCTACAGTCCTGCCGGCAGCGGTGCTGGGTGACTGCAGGGATCGGCCTGGCCCAAGGCCCGGGGCTCCCCTGTGCCGCCCACCTGGGCTTGACCTCCACTCGGGGGCGGTGGCTCTGGGCATCAGCCGCCGATCCCATCTGCCACCTAGTTCCCATGCATCCCAGTCCCAGAGCAGGGGCAGTTCTGGGCTTGGGAGTGTGGCAGGTCACACTTCAGCTCTGTGTGCCCTTGCTGCCATGGTGTAGACAGGCCTCCGCCACTGGTACACTCGAGAGGCAGCAGTGGCTGCGCCGTGAGCGGGTAGCACTGTGTTGCCGTGGGTTCAGGTATCTCCCAGCCTCTAGCCCTAGAAGATGGCACTGCCAGGGGCACCTGCCTTGGGGCACCTGCACGTGGACTCACACGGTCCACGCTAGCGGGAGGGGGCGTGTAGTCTTGGCACACAGAGCCCCCCCACCCCACACGTTGGCAGGGGCCCACACACTCACCAGCGCGCACACCCACGTGTGCTCCCAGCTCCCCCCGCCGCCCAAGCAATTCTCAATCGATGGCGGAGATTGATCTAATAATAGCCGAGGAAGGAAAGCAGCAGCTTCCAGTGCCAAGCATGGTGGGGGGAGGAGAGGGGCAGCTACGCCGGCTGTGCCTGGAGCCACGGCAGATTTAGAACAGCTGGGGCAGTGGGACAAGCTGCCCGGTGGCTCTAGCGCCCTGGGAGGTCTGAGCAGGGCCTGGCGGAGGTGTTGGGAGGTCAGGCCAGGCTGGGTTGGATCGGGCACCCTCCATCTGATGTGTGATGGGGGAAGACCGGGACCAGACTCCTGGGTCCTCTGCCTAGCTCTCCGTGCCTCAGTGTGCCCATGGAGACAGACCCCAGCCCAGCTCCTGAGGGCAGTCGCTGTTGTTGGTTAGTGAAGACCCTGGGAGGGAGGGTGGCAGACATGGGGGGCTGGCATGGGGCGGGTACGGCACGCTCTATGGTAGAGTGGAGGTGGAGGGAGGGCAGGGGGTTCCTCTCCCCCTGGACCTGGTTCAAACCCCCCTGGGGGGACCCGGGACCCAGGCTGGATGGAGAGCTCTGTCGCGTCCCTCCAGCCAGGGTGGGGGCAGAGAGGCAGGACTGTCACCAGCCCGAGGAGCCGGTGCCCACGCTCTGAGCATGGGTCCTCAGCCCGTGCCCTTGCCCAACCCAGGGCAGAGGCTGTGGATGAAGCAGCACCTGAGCCCGGTTTGGCTGTCCGGAGCGGCAAGGCCTGGGACTTAACCCATGACGGGGTGTGGCTGCGCCTTGTGTGGATGCAGCCGTAGGGGTGGGGGCATTTTGAGCCTGGCCCATGTCCCCCCAGACAGTGCGTCACGTCCCCCTGCTCCTCCCCAAACTGAGATGCCGCCGGCCGCACTTGGGCTGCCCCCGTCTCTCTCGCGGCGGGCATGGCACCCCCGGCAGGGGCCTGGGCTGGGGCAGGAGGGCAGCAGGAGACCGGCAGAGCTCAAAGCCCATCTCCATCTCTCCCGCTGGCCCACACTGCTGCCATCAAGCCCCCAGGGCACCCCAGGACCCCCACGGTCCTGGCCTTTGCTTGGGCATTGCCACGAAGACCGATGAGCAGATGAGGCATGGACATGGGCTCCGGGGCTGTGGACCGAGGTCTTCTGGGCACTGTTTGGGGAAGGGCCTGCATGTCTCTTCCCCCCCAAACCCCCCGAGCCTTCGTCTGGGCGCAGGGCTGCCAGAGCCGCTTGGTCACGCGGGAGATTTTTGTACCTTTTTAATCTCCGTTTAAAATTCAGATGCCGTGTTTCCTTGGCAACGAGGCTGCCGAGGAGAAAGGCAGGAGCCAGCCTCCCGCCCTGGGCTGGGGGAGTAGGGAAGGGGCTTTCATGGCAGCTGGACGGTGACCCCGTGTTTCCCTGCCTGGCCTCCGACTGCGCTCCGGCCACGCCGAAAGATGCTAATGGCAGTACATTGGCATCTTGTTAGCAGTTTGTTATGGGGTCGCAGCCCCCCCATGTCAGCCCCAACCCTGGAGATGCATCCGATGGGGACAGGGAAGCCAAAGGGGGCTTTATTCGGAAGACCCCGACCCTCTCTCCCCCCTCCAAGAGACCATCCTCAGGCCTGCTGTAGCAGGGGGTGCTCTGGTTCGGATACCGATACCCTGAGTCAGCCGTGGAGGTGCCAGCCCCAGAAAGGTGGGTTCACGCTGTGACCATGGCAGGATCCCAGCCACTGAGACCATGGTCAGGCTGGGATGTGCCCAACTCCTGCCACCAGCCTGACCCCAAAAGCCCAGCCTGGGCTCTGTGGCTGTGTGCGGAGATCAGCGAGGGTCCGTGCCACCTGGCCGAGACCCCGGGGGTCGAGCCCCTGCAGCACTGGCCTTAGCAGGGCTGTGGATGTTTGCAATGCCGTAGGCTCAGTGCTGTGGCTGGTGGCATTCCCACTGCCCAGGAAGGAGCCCGAGGCATTGGCTGGGTGGAGAGGGGTGGCACAGCAGTGAACGTGAGGCTGAGGGCTGGGCTGGGAGTCAGGACAAATGGGTTCTGGGCCTTGCTGGGAGTGACCGTCGGGCTGGCAGTGCCCAGTTCTGGAGTCTGGGGGTGCTGGGCCAGGTGGTACCCAGCTCGTGCCCTGGATGGAGCCACAGAAGAACAAAACTTCCTAGCAGGCCTCTGGATCCACCTGCCCCCGCTTTCCCCGCCAGCCCCGGCCCTGCAGAGACTGAAGGACGGGCCCGTACGACGTCTCCTGCATTGATCGTGCTCTTGGAGCTAGAAACCGCAGCGCGCTGCCAGCAGCCATGCTGGGGCCAATCGATGGGGCAGGACTCGGCCTCCGTCCTGCCCTGCCGGTCCCAAGGCCACGGGCACGTGTGTCCGTGCACGTCTGCACCCCCCATCCCACAGTGCCCTGCAGGGCTGGGCATCCAGGGCACCCACTGTCACAGGCCCAGAGAGAAGCAGAAAAAAGCCCCGCTCTGGGGCACAAGGAACAGGGCCTGGGGCAGCCAGACCCGAACACCCTGCCCAGGTCCGGGAGCTCCCCGTTCGGCCCCACCGCTGCATCCTGCCAGCTCCTTCAGCCTGGCCGGCTTCTGCGTCACCTAACAGGCTCCGTGTCCTTTCTCCCCAGATCCGGAGGCGCCGGCCAACACCCGCTACCCTGGTTCTGAGCAGCGACCAGTCCTCCCCAGGTGAGTGCCAGGCTCTGCCACCAAGTAGGGGGTCACATACCTGAACCACCCCCCCAGCAGGACTGCCTTGTGCACGACTGGGCCAGAGTCAGGGGTGGCGGCTTGCATGATATGTGCAGCACAGTACACAGGACGGATCCATGTGAGCGTTCATGCCCAGTGGATAAAGGTCTGTTGTGAAGCCCCAGGATGCAGCATGGTTCCAGGCCATGGGACCAGGGCACCTTGCACCACCCGGCTCTCGCCCCGCATGTCAGCCTCAGCCCTGGTGGAGTGCAGCTCCTGGACCCGTGCCAGCGCAGCCAGGGCTTCAGCCCCTTCCCCCTCGCCCTTGCCTGCCCATCTCCCCAAGAAGCAGCTGCAGCTGCTGTCCCGCGCGGCTCGTCCCGGGCAGGCAGCCAGCACCTCTGATCCGCGTCTCCCTGGAACGCAGCACCCCCCACCCTGCACCTGTCTGTCCGTCCATCCTGGGAGATGCCAAGGTGACGGCCGGCCCCCCCACCGGCATGATGCACAAGAAGCTGGGCTGGGCCGTGACATTTGAGAGCACGGCAACAGCCCCGGGGCTCGAGGCCTTCGCAGGCGGTAGGGGGTGGGGGTGCCATGCAGCCAGCTGCTGCCAGGTCCTGCTGTCTTCTCTGCCTCCCCTTTCCCTTCCTCCTTCCTCTTCTCCGCTGTCTCAGCCATGCCAGGCTTGCCAGGCTCGGGGGGCATCTCCTGGGGACAGCACCAGACGGCCGTGGGCTTGCAGAGTGGTCAGTCATGGGCCAGCCAAATGCAGCTGCGGGGGGTCTGACTGCCCTGCCAGGGTTGGGAGCAGCCTTGGGGCCCAGCTGCAGGACCTGGGCCACCCCAGGGACCTACGGCATCAGCCACAGTGGGCGCTGGTCGTGGTCTAGCTGGGTTTGGGGCAGCGGGCTGCCAAAGTCATGACACTGGCCACTGGCCAGGGCTTCCCTGAAGCTTGCACCGGCAGCTTCAGCCCCATGGCCGAGCTCTCAGCTGTGCCCATAGAGAGCCAGCCCTGGTGCGCTTCCAGGAAGAACTCATCTGTCATGAATGCGGACGCCAAGTGCCAGCCCCGGTGCCCAAGGACACAGGCTAGGCCAACCTTGCTGCTTGCAACAGCTTCCCCAAGCACCTGTGATGACCTGCTCCAGCACTGGGCACCGCTCAGCCAAGAGGGCAGCTTTGGCAAGGCACAGGGGACCATGCCATCCAGAGCCGGACAGGCCATGTTGTCATATGGCTGCACTTCCTGTCCCATTGCCACGCGGCTGCAATTGCCCCCTGCCTGGGGATGGCTCAGACTGTGCTGAATCTGCTTTTTGGACAGCAAAGCCAAATGCTCCAGATGTGCCGCAACATGCCTGCCCGATGTGGGCCCTGGGCACGGGCAGCTCAGGGCCTCTGTGGTCCCAGTAATGAGCTGGTTTCCCCCTCCTGTGCCCTCCCAGGGACGCCAACACAGCAGGTGCAGGCGCGCAGGACCGAGCCTGTGGCCCTTCCCCCTGTGCCGTGCAGCGCCCTGGGCCCACACAGGCCTCCCGCTGCTGACGGATGCGTGGTGACAGGCCGAGCGCCGCGGCCGCCTCGCAGCTCCCACAGCATCAAATATGGATGAGCTGGCATGGCAGAGCTGGCTGGGGCTGGTGGGGGGGAGGTGGGGAAGACGGCAACCAGCTGAATGAGGCCCTAGCTCTCGTTTCTGGGTCTAGCTGGGTCCTGATTCCCCACTCCCTGGAGCCAGCTGAGCTCCGGCTGGGGGAAGCTTTGCCCCTGCAACCACAACCCACTCCGCTGCAGCCACAACCCCTTCCCACGTGCACAGTGGTGTCTTGAACATCATTGCTGCCTGGGGCTGCCCAGGGGCACGAGCCCCATGCAAGCCCTGTCAACGGGGCTCAGCCCTCTCCACAGGATGGGGTGCCTCTAGATGGACACCTCATGGAGGAGCTCTGCACCCCAGGGCTGGGCAGTTTCCTCCGCAGGCATGAGAGCAGAGTTCGGGCACGGGGCCGGGGCCTGGGCTTTGCGTCTGCCCCAGAGCCAGGGCTGAGTAGGGGACCACAGGCTGGGCTCCCCCTCGGGCTGGGGCTTCCCAGCTTGGCCTTTCCCCTCTCCCCGGTGTCCCAGCCCTGGGTTCACAGCCTGCGGCAGTGCAGGGGGCCAGGCCTCTGCTGCTCTCCTCTCCCAGGGTCCAGCAGCCCTGGCAGCATCGGGGGTCCAGAGGCTCCATCAGGACCCTTCTCAGGCCCATCCTCTGGGAGGGAGGGATGGAGCCCAGTGGTCAAGGGCATGCTGGTTGTCACAGCGACACTTTGTTTTGTTTCCTAGGCAACCAAGATGCAGCAGGTCAGGTCCCCGAGGCTGCTGGGGAGCGTGGTTTCAAATGGGGGGGGGGGGGGGGGGGGGGTGTGGGGCGGAGA